ATAATTTAATTACTGATTATTGATTATGAGAGCATTATTTTAACAGATTTGATATATTAATTAAAATTTATTTAAAATTATAACAAAAGTATTAATTAAATCAATTATCATGATGTGTTAAAATAAGTGGACAACAATAAAAAATATAATTTTTATTTATTTGTAATGTATTGTCATTGATATAAAGTATTGCCATAATTGAGACAAATATTATCACAAAATATAATATTAACCACTTTGAATTTGTGTATTATTTTTAATGGTGTCTAAAATCCAGTTCAAAATGACCGAGGTGGAGATATAATACGAGTACTGATCATCGCAGGCAAAGCCTGCTTTAGTGCCGCCGGTCACGTGTGTGCCCACGAGTATAGCTCGGGTCCGATACTTATTGGTGTATTGCACGAGACCTCCACCCGAATCGCCCTTAAAATTATATACTTATTAATTTAATCAACTAATTAACTAAATTGCACGTACAGTACAGGGTGTGGACGTTTTGCTGGGCCTGTTATTTAGGGCACACATTAGCGCATCATAGTTCACGCGTAGGGGAACAGCGGGTACGTATCTGTAATGAGGTCTTTGTACGGGGTAACATTTGCTATAAGGTTGCAATAGTATTTCACCACGGTATAACACATTCGTACGTTTGCTTCGGTCGTTCAGTGCCCCGAACCCATACAGTGTAGTCCACTCTGGCGTACGCTGTAGTCGACCCGTTTCAGGCAGGCATATAGTGTTTACCATAATCTGTCGGCCGATTGTTTTGAATTTCATGGCTTCCCGGAGCCGAAGCAATGCCACGTCATTGGCATTGAACGGCCAGCTTATGCCGAGTCCGTTATGAGTGAAATTCACATCAACCCATTGCCTGTCCTGGAAATGCACTTTATTGTTACCGGCAATTGCTTTAATCGTGCGGTTCAGTAGTTTTGGTCGTTTGCTGTAATTAAAATACAAATAATAACATTTATGACATTATAATAAATAAAATGCAAATAACTATTGGTTTACAAATTGAAACAATGGGCGGCCGTTAGGACCCATTGCGGGGCAATCAATACTCCGCTGCAATAACTGGCGAAAACGTTGGGCCGATTCAGTCGATCCGGTTTAAGATTAGTCGGATATCGATATATTTCTGTGGTGTCAATAATTTCCACGCTAACTGCCCATGGTGCCTCACCCGACTTTGCCCGCCACCCGTCCACTACACGACTGTCAAACAGATTGTCCAACTCGTGGCGCCTGAAGTCCCGCTCAAACATATTGATTACATGTGCCGTTTGATAGTAATTACGGAAACAATTTCTGTTGTAATACAATATGTAATCGGATTCGGGTGTGAATCTAAGGCCACATGTCTTGTTGTTAATCCCAAATGACTCATATTCAGTGTGATTACCGATGGTTACAAACAGACCATAAGTTGTGGCTTAAAGTTAACATTAATTTAAGTTTAAAACAATATATTTAAACAGGGTCCATTTCTTACAGTTATATAATACAAAAACAAACAGTATTTGCAAAATTATCACCAATTTATTCATTGTATTCAATAGACTTATAAAAGTATTCAGAATTTTCAGTTAGATTTCGGTATTACTTGTAATTAACGGACAAATTCATAAATAAATAATATTATAATAATTAAATTATATTGAATTAAATTGTTTTCACGAGTTTTGACACATTATGAAAAGTATTAAAATTTAGATTTAAATTATAAGTGCAAAGTAATACAACTTATAAATACTGTAAATTTTGGAAACATGTATAAATCAGTAATAATTATCAAAATATTATCGATTTTATTACTAACATTGTGTAAGTTTTATTCAAGAATAATTAACATTAAATACAATAATGATTAAAACAAGCTATTATTTGCAGTACAAACCGATGGTAAATTTGTAACCGTTGGTAATTTTACTTCCTATAAGCGCTACGGTATTAATAACAGGACATGTGGTCTGGAATTCACCACCGAAGACATGACCATAACATACGGTAAACAATGCTTTCATAACGAGTTTATCCCGAAGTATGTGTTGGACATCTCTGGCCGTCACTATCACCGCAATGAGGATCTGTGGGGCAGTCGTATAGCTGGTGGTTGGGACACATCCCATGGCGAAGCACCATGGGCAGTTAGCGTCAAAATTATATACTATATTAATCACATTAATCACGTTATTTACTGCAGCGGTGTATTGGTTGCCGACCAATGGGTCTTAACGGCTGACGATTGTTTCAAATGGTAATAAAAATTAATATTAAGTTTAATACCTAATAATATACAGTATATAATAGGGATAATCACACGTCTGATCGCGAACCGTGGGTTATAGTCGGCAACAATCGACTGAACGCCGCGGATAAGATTGAGGTGGCGTTTAGATACACAATGTCTGGCGTGAGTGGAGGCGTGACTTTACTACGGCTCCAGCGGGTGATCAACTTCAGGGTCTCGGGCGACCGACTGCTGGCCAACACCGTATGTCTGCCCAAATACGGCCAAAAACCAGACCGACCCGATTGGGCCACACTATACGGCTTTGGTTCGCGCGATGGCCGCAATATTACGGTTAATTGGTTACGTCGGGGTGAAATATATTTATTACAACACGATTACTGCAATCATAATACCACTTATAAGGTGTGGCTGTGCGCCGAAAATATGAGGGCTAAAAATATGTCCACACTTTGTATAGTATGAGACACACCGTTATTACCATGTGTTTAGGTTTTGTGTGTAATTATAAGTTTGTTGTTTTGATTTGAAGGGCGATTTGGGCGCAGGTCTGGTCCAGTATACGAGTAAAGAGTTAAACCGAGCGATACTGGTTGGCACACACGTGACTCTGAGCACCCAGGTGAAAGATGTTTGTCAATCTAGAAAGAGTTATTATATATCGACGCCAATGATTGTGAGCTGGATTTTACAGACTATTGACAATTTTACTCCAAAAACTACTCCAAAACCTACACCAAAAACTTAGTGTAGTTTTTAACAAATTGTATTCAATAATTTTTATAGACATATGTATTTTGTTGTAAACTTAATATAAAATGTGGAATAAAATGAATATCATTGAATCAGTTATAAAATTGTGACGGAAGTCGGGTTCGCTTGAGCTTCGGGAACCCTAACGACCCGTCGGACGGTAGTTAACGACCAAAGCCTTGAGAACGGCGAGGTCTACCGTCGGATTATGGGATGCGTTGAGAGGTTGTGACGAAGAGTGAACGAAGTCGGAGACTGGACTGTATGTACGGGTGGTTTGCCGACGAGATAATACGATGGGTAACGAGTGTATGAGTGGGCGACTCTCGGCTGAGTACTGGTAGACACGGAGTATAGATATGAGTGACTTGACTTCGATCGGACGCGAAGTCGGAACGTTAAGTGAATGGGTGCACGAGTTTATAGGTATGTGTGGCCAAGACCTGCGAGCCGAGGCGAGGTCGGACTGAACGCCGTGTAGGCGGAGTCGGGCGAAGAGTGACGACAAGGAATGGATAGTGTGGCCCGACTCCGGGACGGAGTCGGGCAGAGTAACGGACAGCGATTTGTATTGTGAACTCTCGTTAGTTTATTGGTATATTTTACAGGCTTTTAGTTATGATCGGATATATAGTTGTGTACAGTGTTTATGTTATACGAAGTCGTTATATGTAATGTATAGGCGGCGGACAGCGGCATGTTTGGTATGATTATACAGCTTATGTTAAGTACGAGGTAAATATGAATAAGACATGGAAGTGTTTATCGGCAATTGTGGTCAGAGTCGGGAATACATGGTTTGGTTTGTATGCGGAAATAGTGGCTAAAACTGGATGCGAAGTGCATTGACAGCAATGTTTGCTTAAGGGCTTAGAGTAGCGATAAGAGTGTCGAGGATTAGAAATGGGGGCAAAGGTTTACATTGAAATTTGGAGTGAATTGAGTTAAACAATGGTAAGTATAGGAAAAGTGGTTGTCTTATGGATATTCCTCTGGATGTGCTGGAGCTGAAGACGTTTTCTCTCAGAAAATTATGATTGAATAAATGTCTATTGTTAAGTTACAAACAATTAAACCGTTTTGAATTATAACTTTAGTTTTGGTTAAATGCAATCTCTTTAAACACAAACGCATACATTCGGGGGTAAAGCCATTCAAATGTGGTTTCAATCATTGTTTTGAAAGTTTATTTTTGAGAAAAACACATTTAAATCGATAAAAAATGTGTTCATTTGTAGAAAAATTTCATTTTTGTATTTAATTTCCAAACATATAAAAACTTTTTTGTAATTTCAAAATACATTTAAATGATTAAAAAATGTAAAAATATATCATGACATCCAATGATTTAATAGATTTTAATTCATATAAATTATTTGCATTTAAAATAAAATTATATTTCGTTTAAATTGTTAAACAATTGAATCAATCAATGAGTTTGTGGTTATGTTAAGCACCGGTCGATCAGTGACTAAATGATTGGTATTTAATACCCAAAAGATGTCACTATTTATGCCAAACACTCATACAATACACCAAATGGTTGTTAACCAATGGTTTCGGTGTTTATTAAAAGATTAGACAATGTTTCCCATCGAAACTCTCACTCATAGACTATTAGTTGAGAATTATTGGAAAATCCCTCAAATAGAGGGAATATATTTTGGGTTAGATATTATCGAAACTATTAAACCAATGATTGGTTTGGGTTAAGAGAGTGTGAGTCAGAGTTGAGTCAATGCTTGAAATCAAATGCTTTTATGTTTTGTTTTCAAATCCTTTGTTTGAAAATTTGCCAAAAGTTTTGATTTCGTATTTAATTTGAAGTGTTTTTCAATTATTTCATAGAATTTTCAATTGATTTGTGGTTTGAGTGCCGAAAGTGAACACAATTTACACCCAAATTGTGTCCACATTTTGAATGCGATTATAATTATTGATATTCATTGAAACATTCACTTCATTTGATCCCAAGATATAACACCAACAGATGGAACACAAGAAGACATCACTCGAGTCCATAGATGACGGCAATGAAGACAATAAACAGGTATTTAATAGACATTTAATTATTTATTGAGTTTTAATTGTATTTTTGTCTCGTATTTAAATATTTAGCCAAAGATTTACGCGAAGAACTCAATGAACAGATTCGGTGATGACATGTATGGACTCATATTATCCTATCTTTCACTCGAAGATCGGTTTCAATTGGAATGTGTGTCCAAACAGTTCCAGAGGACTGTCTTCGGGAGTGTTGTCTTCATTGATATCACCGATCAATTCGATGGTGAATCCAAGACTTGTTTCACAGCTATTATTGAAATGTTGGCCAAAAAGTGTCCAAACATTGAGACCATTGACTTCAGAGGAATGATCATTGAATGCGAAGAACACATTCCAGAAGTGTTGCGATTATTTCGAGACAATTGTCTTAATTTGCGAGAAGTTTACTGCAATTTAGTGGAAAATACGGCACAAATGTATCGACAGTTCGGACCACTGGTCACACAAATCGGTAGTATTTTGCGTAAACACTAACTAAATCTCTAACCACTGATTGTCTGCCCAATAGATTGCAATAAGTTGTCCGACACTGTCGTCGACACCACTTCCGGACACCAATTGGCCAACAATTTGAAGACATTTAAGTGTAATCACTATAACACAGAAGACAAACAACTATTCACTGCATTCGTGGCACACAATCAGTGTCTCAAAAGTCTAAACATTGTAGATATTTACGATCTGAACGATACTCTTCCCGAACTGGCCGTACAATTGTCACGTTTAACACAATTACGGGAACTGACACTCGGGTTAGTGTTTGACGTATTGAACGTATTGGACGACAAGATGCAGACGTCCGCAGCCGTGAACCAGTGTTTGCGTACTATTGGTGTGAATTGCAAACAATTGAATCGTTTGTCACTCGAACTGATCTCAGTGGAGACCGAACCCGCATTCCAGATATCATTGGATTCGTTACGAGTTTATCGCCAATTAAAACGATTACGTATAACAGCGGATGAGGTCATCGATGACCGGCTGTTGGATCCGTTGAGACACTGCAAGAGATTAACGCATTTAGAGCTCTGTTTATGGCGTATGAAAGCAAATGTGTTGAAAGATTTGCACATAAAGTGTCCGCGACTTCAATACCTATTCATTCGTGACTTCAATAGCATTATAGACGCCGAGTGTTTGTCACACCTCTCAAGACTACCGGCGCTGCAAACGCTTGTCATTGACGGCAAAGACTGTGGCGACGACTCTAAAGTTTGTGGCGAAGAATCTAATTATCTCTCGGATAATGATTTGAATGCTGTGTTGTCTTCGAGTCCTAAACTCAAGACAATTGAAATCCGTGTAAACAATGGGAAGAAGTTTTATTATAAGTAAAAATGTGGCAAATATTTAGTGTTATTATTAAAGTAATTAAATATTATTACATTTATTAACTAAATAATGTTTGAATTTTCCTTTGATTTCAAACATTTCTTGTTTTTCTTGTATTTCAATGATTGTCATAAAGCCTTTCAAACGAAATCCGGTTTAAATCGACACAAAAAATGTATTCATTTGAAGGAAAAATAATTTTTAAACATTTTTTAAAATTAATAATAAAATATTTTGTATAACTGTTTGTATAACTATTCCACACAATTTCTAAACAATTATAACACTTTTCATTTTGTAGTTATAAATATTATTTAACAATTAAAAATTATTGTCTATTTGATTATACTTTCGGTTTTAATGATAAAAATAAATTCCAATCGATTTAAATTTGATAAAAACATTTTCATTTAATATACATTTCATAAAAAAATCTTTTAATAATTTTTCAATAAATTGTTTGAATATAAACAAGGATCACACAGCGATGCTATACGTTA